GGAGCATAGACTTTTTTTTCTTACACACACACACACACGCGCGCGCACGCACAGACGTACACACACACACACACACAAACACACACACACACACACATAATTATCACCCTTTAGTGTCCCCAGTTCTTGGTGGGGCTAGGATGCTGGGAACCCTGAAAATGTGGTCTCCTAGACTCTTAGAAGAGGAGCGTGGTGGCGCTGTGGGTTAAGCCGCAGAAGCCTCTGTGCTGCAAGGTTGGAAGATCAGCCATTGTAAGATCGAATCCATGTGATGGAGTGAGCTCCTGTCGCTTGTCCCAGCTCCTGCCAATCTAGCCATTCGCAAAGCATGTGAAAATGTGAGTCGATAAATGGGTACCACCACGGTGGGAAGGTCATGGTGTTCCGTGTCTAGTCATGCCGGCCACATGACCACGGAAACTGTCTACAGACAAACACTGGCTCTATGACTTGGAGATGGGGATGAGCACCACCCCCTGGAGTTGGACACAACTGGACTAAATGTCAAGGGGAACCTTTACCATTTTACACCCGTATAGGGCCCTGAGAATGATTTATACCATATCTTTTTGCAGACAAATACACATATATATTTTCTTTATTTTTTTCTTACTCAATCTTTCTCCTAAGAGGGACTGAAGATGGCATATAGGTTAGGAAGAAAAAAAACTAATGAAGAGCTAAAAACAATAAATTATTACAATATTTTTTTAAAAAAAGAATTAAATATAATATTAAAAACCCGCAGAGTGAAGCAGTACAAACAAACAAGATAATGTGGGATGGGGGGAGACAACATTTGAGGACTGCAAGGAAGCATGTTGTCCACTTTTAAGTCTAACATCTGTTCTGGCTTTTTGGAAAGTCTGAAGAAGCTCCTTCAGGAAACTTAAGAGGGATTCACAGCTCCTGTGGTTTGTCCGTGAAACATTGTTCTTTCACCTTCTGGTGTACATTTTCAGTTGCTAAGAACATGATGGAGTATAAGGATGATGTAGGGTAGGGATGTGAATCTTTCACCTTCTCACTCCATCCATCCGTTCGTCCATCTGTCCATCCGTCTGACCGTCCTTCTGTTTTTCTGTCTGCTGTCCGTCTGTCCGTCCGTCCATCCATCCATCCATCCATCCATCCATCCATCCATCCATCCATCCATCCATCCATTCCCCCCCTCTCTCTCCATCCATCCATACCTGGTAGACAATTTGTCCTGAGGCATCCAACGAATCTTGTGGGATTTCTAAGATAAACATGTTTTAAATGTATATTTTTGAATATGCTTCTGTACATATCTGTATGAGAGATCTCTGAAGACCTTGAACCATGCATGGGTCATCTTGAGAATTGACTGCTGTAATGCTCTCTACATGGGGCTTCCCTTGAATGTGATACCAAGACTACAACAGGTCCAGCATGCAGCAACCAGATTAATTTGAGGGGCTAAAAGGTTGGATAAGGTCCCCCCAATCCTGGTTCACCTGCAGTGGCTCCCCGTTGGCCTTTGTCTCAGATTGAAGATCTTCGTTATGACTTATAAAGCCCTATCCAAAGGTCTTCACCCAAGAATATCTACTTATTCAATCCTGTCCTCTTAGGCCTCACTACTGTGTGTGCCTCCCCTGAGGGAAATAAAGTAAACCAATACTAGGAATTGGGCTTTTTCAGCTGTGACACCATCACTGTGGAGCAAACTTCAGTTACAAATTAGACTGGCACCCTTCACAGATTTTTAGAAGATTATTGAAGACAGGGTTGTATAAGGAAGCCTTGGGCAACATCTTATGCTAATCTTTGAGATGCACATGTTGTATTTGTCATTGTGATTATGGATTATTTCTAGTCTACTGGTATATTTTGGTCTCTTTTCTTATGGTTTATTCAATTTGGCTTGACCTGATTTTTCAAGTCACCTTTTCTGTTTCTGTGGTGTTATGTTTCTGATTTCTTTGATTATCATAGTTGTTTGTAGGCTTAGTCTACTTAGACAGACTGCCCCAAATGGTGTTCTCACTACATTCGGTGATCAATAAGCTGTAGAAATAAAAAAAAAATACATATATAGATACATATTTGTGTATGTGTATTCTACAAATTGCATGAGATTTCTTGGGTATTCAGTGGCGAATGTCAGATACAGATGTAGATACAGAAATATACATATGTATCTATTGGAAATCTCATGAGATTTGTTGAATATCTCGTGGTGATATTGGTACCAGGAGGCGCACCGGTCTGTGCTGAGTTATTACAATGCCTCAGCAAAATGATATGTTTCCTCTGCAGGATTCACTGGAAAGCTGTAAGCAATTTGGCAGTTCCTTGCAAAATGAACAGACAGCAATGACATGGGGAGGGTGAGGAAAAATGAGATTGGAATCTTGTTCCCCCGAGGAGCTGAGAAACCTCCTTGGCACAGAGGAAAAGTCTTGACATTGTGAGACAAAGAAAAATTGGCAAGAATGAGAAACGTTTTCTCTGTATTCTTGTACTGTGGGGTTTGAATAGTCATCAGGAAAGTCCGGAATCTCATTCAACATAATGTACGAGATGTGCAAAATATATAGGCTAAAGCCGGGGAGAGAAACTGTAAACCCTAAACAGCTTGGGACCAAGTTATCTCAAGGACCACGTTTCTGTTTATGACCCTCCTTCCGTCATCAAAATAGACTATTTAAAAGCTGAAGATGGTAAGTGTGAAGAAATGCAAAAAGAATCAAACAAATATCACACTTAGAAACAAAACAGTAAACAGAAACAACTATTCAAAATACATTCAAAAGCAACAAGGCACAATGATCTATTGGAAAAGCCCTCTCAGACCACCAGTTATTAAGGGAAGAGCAAGGTCTTTGTCCGTTTGCAGAAGGACAGCAAGGATGGGGCCAGCCTAGGCCTCCAGTGGCAGGGAGTTCCAAAGTCTCTGGGAGCAGCCGCAGAGAAGGCCCTCTCCTGTGACAACTATTCAAAACACATTCAAAAGCAACAAGGCACAATGATCTATTGGAAAAGCCCTCTCAGACCACCAGTTATTAAGGGAAGAGCAAGGTCTTTGTCCGTTTGCAGAAGGACAGCAAGGATGGGGCCAGCCTAGGCCTCCAGTGGCAGGGAGTTCCAAAGTCTCTGGGAGCAGCCGCAGAGAAGGCCCTCTCCTGTGTCCCCACCAAGTGTGAGGGGGGTGGGACTGAGAGAAACACCATTCCTGGTGATCTTAACACCTGAACAGGCAGCATTCCTGGTGATCTTAACACCTGAACAGGATCATAATGGAAGACACGATCCTTTGAGGGACTTCACACTTAGAAACATTCTATGCCTCCCATTAAACATGCATTTCTACCCATAGGATGGGTGATCTTGCATTACCATCTTCGGAAATTGATACATATAAAAGGAAAAAGAAAAAAGCAATCAGCTTGATCATTTGTAGTCTTTCCCACATGCCGATTTGCATCTATGATTCCTTCCCAGCCTGTCTTTTTTTATATATCGTTTCCATCTGTATGACAAAATAAAATAAGAAAAATGGAAGGCATACACATGGTGTAGCTATTAATAGAGCATCACTGTTGATTTTATTTCCATCCGTGCACAGTGGCCAGAGAATTCACCAAGCCTCCCTCCCTGAGCACCAGTAATTTGAGCACATTGTGCATCTATGGAGGCAGTAAAGTTGTTGTTTAGTCGTTAAGTCATGTCCGACTCTTTGTGACCCCATGTCACAAAGCCCTCCTGGCTTCCACTGCCTCCTGGAGTTTGGTCAAATAAAGTAAAATTAACA